ACTGAGCTGAGTGTGAAAAGCATTTCCTTGGTTGTGTACTTGGCTCAGCAGTGGTCTACATTCTCTCAGTGGAGGCTGGGTGACTGTTTCTGGCATTAATTTTAAGTGGATCATATTGTAGCGTGCATGGCCTCCGAGCCTGCTTTCGGCTCGGAGGTGGTTTTGGGGACAGGATATTGCAGACGGAAAACATTTATTTCCTAATCTTACTGACTAGGGTGGGTTGTGTGTGTTGTTGCATAAGCAATACCCCCAAAAAAAAAAGTCCTTATTGGTATCCTCACTGCAGGGGGGTGGAGGGCAATGAACCGCCGAAACTGCACCAACCAGTGCAATTACATTCAATCATATTTTCCATATCGTCTCCACTGTGGCCATGTCTATTCCCCAGCTGGAGGAGACAGTTGGATACTAACCCATTGAGACACATAACTGTATGAAACTATGCAAGCATGCATAAACCAGAATATCTGTGTTGATATCTTGGCTCAGGTGCTGTCAGGTTTTTATAAAGAGTATATGGGTTCCCTGTCACTGTGGGCTGCAGGGCACAGTAGTATACTGCAGAGTCTGTCACTTCAGCACAGTTCAGCTTCAGATCCACACGCTTGTTGTTGTTGTAATGATTAACAGTAAACCGTCCTGTTTTTGCAGTTGTATAGGTGTGGATGGGATATTCTGGTTTTGATGCCGGGTATTGGCGATACCAGTGTAAACTGCTTGCAGCACCACTGTAGTTGCATGACAGTGTAACATTACTATCCTCCAAAGCATGCACTGCTTCAGCTGCTGGTATAACTCCATCTTGGAAAGTGTCACCTGCAGAGCAAAAAGATTTGATTTTGTATAAATATTTCATGTTTATGACCTCATATATTACAAATGGCAGAAAAGATGTTGTTTTTCATAAGAGATTTTGTTGAAGTTTTTGTTATGAGTAGAGAAATGCAAAACCTCTTTCTACCCTTTTTGTTAAAATTATAACATTCAGATTTAATAGAAGACTTTGAAATAACCAGACTAAATGAAACAGCAGTTTCATGGATGAGAAACACAGAATGTCACTTATCCACATATACTGTAAACAAGAGACAGAAGCAGTACAACATGATAATGGATTTTATAAAGACAAACTGACTCTTGAAGCTTGAACAGCTTGAACAGAGCAAGTCCTCCACTCTGACTTCCTCTGTGTAGTGTCACGCGGAAATCCCACTCAGTAACTACTTAACTCTTCATCTGGTTACAAAAACATGGAACAATCAGATTTTCTAATTAAAAAAAAAAAAGTTATTGGATGTCGATAAATTTACAGACAATAAATAAGACAATTTACTGTAATTTTCATTTTACTTTTGAAGACCAAACTATCCCTTAGCATCAAATATTGTTATGATCTACATAAATAAATAAAAATAAGAAGGTGAAAATGCTTGGAAATGTTCTGAGGTAGGCAAACTGCTACTTTGTATAATTGGCAATTGATGGAGCTCCGAACTGATAAAGCAGAAATATACAATTTCCCTACAAAATCAACAAATGAGATACAAATGAATAACGGAGTGGTTATGGTATGCGCACAATGTTGTTACAGTACATTGTAACAGCATGTTGCTCATAAATACTCATAAACACATTCCAAACTTCTATGTACACAATCCATACTTATGGTGTACTAAATTGTTTGATTGCTCTAGGGGATGGGTTTGAGATGATGCTGGATGAGAGCAAAGACAATTTAACTGAATTTTATTTTAATGCAGACATGAAATGCAAATATATTGTTTGCATGTAATCAACACAAAATCTTCAGCTGAAGATCCATAACGATCCTGAAAATGATTTTTAAATAAAACAGACCAATCTCTATAGCTTGATGCCTACAGCAGTGAAACTCTCAGAGTCGTTTCTGCAAGTTTTAGTCATAAGTACTGCAATTTCAGGCTTTCAGGGGAGGCGGTCACATGATTACAGAGCTGAAAGAATGGATGTTTGTGTTGAAATGTTGCCTCTCAGTGGATACATTTGGAAGTTTTAAATCAAGTAAAATATCTTTATTATAATAGATACAGTTTGTAAGAATCACATACATCCTTGGAAACTCAATTTTTAAAAATGTTTGGTCCGTTAAAAGGAAACATGAATGGACATTAGATTTATATATTCTTATCCTATTCAAAAGAAAAATTAGTGTTGTGCCACATCACAAGTAACTAAGTGATTACAAAATAAAACCTAATTCCTAGATGGAGTATGTTCTGGGCTGCTGGTAATGGTGGATGTGCATTGCTATACCTGGACCACCACATGGTTCCTAAGGTGAACATATAGAATAAATCAACATGCTTCCTATTGGTCCTACTGGGATAATGAAATTAGCCACCCCCAATGGTTTTAGATTTCAAAGCTTTCCACAGTTTCACAATTTTGCTTCTCAGGGAAAACATGGTCAGCAAGTCTTAAGCTCAGCAACACAATCTCTGAGTCTGTTGTGATAAGATATTTTCTCAGGGAGTCATAGCAATAAAGGTGTGGTGAGAGTGAGCAAAAATGTATTGTAGTAATAAGGAAATAGCCAGCAGGTGTAACTTCTCAGCTTTAGCTGGGCCTGCAATGCCTCCATGCCATAGGGAGATGGAGTTATTTCTACCGCAAACTATGTACAATGGAACAAAGTATTCTGACTCCAATATTATGGTATAAAGCCAAACAGCACACCCTACTATGGTGCACTCTGGGATTTGTATAAAAGAATTCAGGCATTGGCTGTTAGCGAATGTATCTGAGTATCTGTCGTAGTTGTTTTCCAGTGCCTCTGTGTGAGCGCAGAGGATGCTGGGCAGTGAGATGAGCTCACTGAGATGTGTGCAATGTCAAAGAAGGGGTGAATAAGGGTTATAAAAGGCTCAGATTTAGGTACTGAACTACTCAAGGTTCTTAACAGTGCTTTCCTTCAGAAGTGCCTTGATTTTACCTGTCCTGTAGTTTGTGCTGCAGTCAAAGTCACCTCCAGGGGGAAAAGGGTGACTCTCTGTGTGTGCACGTGTGTGTGTGCACGTGCGCATGTGCGCGTGTGCGCATGTGCGTGTGTGTGTGTGTGGGTGTGTTGGGGTTTTGTTTGGGTGCAGAGGGTAACATTTTCACTCCAAAATGTTTTATTCTCAGTACAAACACCTTGCAGGTGCATTGGGATGGAGTCAGATGTGTGTTTTTGCTTAGTGGGATTTCCTGTTTTGGCAAACCATTTCCCTTTCTCTGTCTTTATTAAACCTTCAAAGCTATGGTATCTAAGCAGGTTTTTGTATGAGAGTTACCATTTATATACCACTGTGGAGCTCAGTGCACAGTAATAAATTGCAGTGTCTTCTGTCATTAATCTTGAAATCCTCAAAAATGTCATATCACCAGTAACGCTTGAATCAAATTTCCCTGCAAAATCTGCAGTGTGGCTGCTGTACCCTCTGCGCAGTATGTACTGAGGAGCTGATCCAGCGTACTGCCGATACCAGTAGAAGTTATACATAGAGCTGCTGTAGGTGGTGCTGAAGGAACATTCCAGAGAGACATCTTGTCCTTCTGACCCCAGCATTGAGCTTTTCTCCTGTCTAATTTCATCTCCAGAGGAAAAGCCTAAAAAGTATTGATCCAATACAAATTAATATTATGTCATCACATTAAGGTAAGGCTAATAACAGGAACAAATCCAATACTTAAAATTAAGTCAGAAAAGAAAACTTACAGAGGGAAACAGTTAACAGTAGCCCTGCAAAAAGCTGCATCTTATCATGAAGTCAATCTTCAGGTTATAAGAAGCAAGGGAAGCTGAGGCAGAATATGTCTTAGTTTTTCTGTGAGGTAGAGTGGGTGGAGCAATGGTGCCCTGATGAGAATGCAGAAGAAACTAAAACTACTGAATGTGGCATTTGAATATGAAGCTGAGAAAGACAGATGCATCTTGTGTATTTTGTGATCAATACTTTCACCTTGCTATACCCAATCATTTTTAATTCCTGATAAACACTGGATAACCAAAAACAGTATGATGTGCAAAATGTATGTTTGAGCTACCAAAATGTTTAGTATTTCTGTTTTTTTAAATGTGTAAATGGCAGTTTTATAGTAAATGGTGTAAACATGCACATTAGTAGCAGACACAGATATTCACTGTATGAAACAGTTGAAATTTGACACAGGATGCTTGTATATATTAAACAAGTATAAACTAGCAATTAATGTAGGCAATCTGACACATACATTGATAGACATGGAACCATATTTCTATGAAAATAATTGTGATGTTAAGTGAAAGCAGAAGTTAACACAGATTGATGTGGTTAATTTCCCAAATGGGGCACAGACTACAAGGTCATCTGGTTCAATTCCCCCATATTATGTAGAGGTGTTAATAGTGATTCTTAACAGTGATTAATAGTGATTCTCCTGCCATTTTGAGATGGATGGAAAGTCAGCAACTCACTCATTTTTATCAAAATGGAACAACTCTGTCTTCCAGCTTTATCCTCCCCCCTCAACAATATCTCTATTACCCTTGATAAAACTATGTTGTCTTCAACCAAGACTGTAAGCCTACATGATCCAGACCATAGTTTACAACCGATTCTGTGCTGATGGTTATGAGATGCTGACAGTTTTATAGTAGGACCATGAGAGTAGAACTTATTTCAAGCATTTGTTCTTGTAGAAAACCATATGACAAAGTACACGGTCTTCATATACGTGTGCTGCACACGTTACCAATGGGTATTTGTTATGGCAATCAAATTAATTGTTCTGTATCTCATTGATGAATCTCATCTGTTGTCTGTGTCTGAATATTTACGACTTCAGAGAAAGTCATTTCTAAAAAATATTCAACATTTTATAGATAATTGCATGAGGTAATCTGATGGGGTAAAATTCAACATATGTCCAATTATAACTGAGTTTTCTATATTTAGCTACATTCTGTCTATAAATACAGACAATGGTGATGGTTGGGTTGCAGTGTAGCATAGTGGTTAAGGAGCAGGACTTGTAATCAGAAGGTTATGGTTCAATTCCCCTTGCTGCTGTACCCTTGGGAAAGGTACTTAACCCACAATTGCATCAGTAAATATCCAGCTCCATAAATGGATAACATTGTAAAAACTTGCAATTGATGTAAGCTGCTCTGGATAAGTGTCAGGACTGCGGCATCTTAGCTGGTTGTTTTTTTTTCAACGTCCATGTGCTCTCGTTTTTCCCTGTGTTCCAGCCCTGCCCTGCTCTCCGCCCTGTCGCCACCCACCTGATTACCTGATCGTCTTCACCTGCCTGCCTGCGCACCTGCATCCCACCTCCTCATCAGCATTGCCCTATTCCCTGCTTGTTTTTCGTCTCGTTGCCAGTTCGTCTCAGCTGTCTGTTCCGCTACTCGCCGTCTGTTCTGTTTTTGCCTGCCTGTTTGCCTTGCCTGTTTCTCTCGACAATTTTGGATCTGATTTTTGGTATGATGGCTGTGTTTTTCTGGTTTTGGACTTTTCCTGTTTCAGCCCTGTTTTTGGATTACCCTTTGGATTTAATAAACTCTTCACGTACCAGTCTTCCCTGTCTGCGCTTGAGTCCCTGTCTGAGTTCTAACAATAAGATTGTCTTCTGAATGTCAAGAATATAATGTAATGGTTATACAGGATCTCCTTTGTGGCACAGTGCTCATTCCACCTTTTCATGAGCATCAGGGCTGCATTGAGAAAACTGATATAAAATGTTAGGCTATAATTCATGTTTCTTCATATTAAATAACATGCCATAATTTTGCACCAAACCATTTCCCACATTGGCCAATTACTGCAACTTCAGAAGATACTCTGCTTAGTGCACTTTTAATTTTAACAAGCGCACATCCAAAGTCTGAATCTGTCCCAAAGTGAATAGATTTTTCTTATGTTTTCAGATTTTCTCACGAGTTTCAACTAATGTTCTGAGTACCATGTGAACATGACATTTATTACTAGCAGATGTCATAATATACAGATCAACATTTATTTCAAAATTTTCTGATGTATTTGAAGTCTACATGTTTTGCGCTCCAAAATAACTAATATTGACTTCTAATCTTAGAAGTAGAAGTAAAATAACACACTAACACAAGATGTTTTATGCACTTCAAAGAAGTTTTGGCTCACCTCCTTGTCTTCCTATGAAATGGTAATCAGACCTTAGCACTGTAAAACAAACATGACTAAGACACCACGTAATTTAAAAATATGGATGTCATTTTTGAATAATATTTTAATGATAAATGGTGAACGTTGTTTCTAAAACATGACTCCTATAGCAACACTGTTCCTTGGAAGTATAATGTGAATGCTCAGAGATGTCTGCAATTAAATACATTAAATTTGACTGATGCCCTTATCCACAATGACTTACTGAACAAACCAAAACATTTGGTGTGCATTCAATACAATATTAATGCATTTAATAAGGACACATAATAATAGTGCATTTCATAAGGACACATAAATAACAGTGCATAAGGAAACTAAACATTTGTACTGTGACTGCAATTGTTGTTAAAAAAAAAAATCAATGATACAAAATACCATTTCAAGTAAAAATAATGATAATGCTAGTTTTTTTTTCCTAATTAACTAATAAATAAAAAAGAAAGAAAGAAAAAGGAAGAGAGAAATATTCTAAAACTACTACTAAAAGCATTTTTTGTACAGTAAGCGTGGCATGCATATTGACAGAGATTCAGGTCTGTTGCCTGACTGCATTTGTTGTGAAGAAGATAATTAGTTCCATTACAATAACAATAACAATAATAATAATAATAATCCTACAAAAACTACAGGGTGCAACAGAACCCAAGGTATTTGAACTAGACAACTACACATACAGCTTTCCAAACAATAGACCTCTAGTCTGAACTAGTGGTGAACATTGAGTACTGCAGGTCTCACATATACAGGGGCCATATTGTTATGCATGTTTGTTGCTGCTTAATGAATGACACTGAATGTAGAAAGCATGATTGTTTTCTTATCTCACCAATAGTGGTCTGCTATGCTAATCAGAATGGCTATTGATTCAGACACAGAACTGTATGAAACTCTCCAAGCATACATATAAAAAAATCCTTAAAATTAGACATCTTGGTTGTTATCTTGGCTCAGGTGCTGTCAGGTTTTTGTACAGAGTGTTTGGGTTTCCTGTCACTGTGGGCTGCAGGGCACAGTAGTACAGTGCAGAGTCTGTCACTTCAGCAGATGGGAACTCAAGATCCACACGATTCTTCTTATCATGCTTAACAGTAAATCGTCCCTTTTCATTACTATCTTTAACTTCATTGACAAGAACAAGGAATTCTGGCATTGATCCTGGGTATTGGCGATACCAGTGTAGACTGTCAACTCTAACGGTGTAGTTGCATGACAGTTTTACATTGCTGCCCTCCAAAGCATGCACCTCACCAGCTACTGGTATAATTCCATCCTGAAGACTGTCACCTGCAGAACAAAAAGATTTGTGTTGTGCAAATGTTTTATATTTATGATAACATATATTACAGTCACAGTCATACAAAGTCATACACATTCATTTGTTTTTCATGTGAGCTGCTGTTTAAGTATTTGTTATCAGTATAGAAAATCAAAATCTTTTTACCCTTCAGTCAGAGCAATTGATTGAGGTTTTCAAACAACCAGTCGGAATGAAATGGCAGTTTCACTGATAATAAATAAATCCAGCATGCCACTTACCTACAAATGCAGAGAACAGGAGAAATAAACAGTGCAACATCATGGTAGCTGTTCCACAGAAACAATGGTTTTAATTGTATCTGAGTACCAGAGTAAGTCCTCCACCTCCACTTCTGCATAGTTTTAACAGGAAGCCCAAACTACTCAGCTCCCCCTGCTGACATAATGTGGAATTTAGCTTCATTTTCAGTGACACACAGTTAATTTGTGTTCAAGCTCTGAGATCTGTACTGTACATACAACAAACAAATGGAATGAAATGCATTCCATTTACGTATAATGAAAAATTACATACTGTACAATAGTCTTTATTATATCTGTTATGATGTAGGATATGATATACACTTTCTTATTATATCTAGTAGGAACAGCAGCTTCATATTTATTTCTGCTGGTTTTTAATTTAACAAGGACCAGGAGCAGCCACTTGACTGCCCCAGAAATAGCTGTGAAGCTAAACTTCATCTGTAGTCCCTGGGCAGGCAACAGGAACCAAGAAACAAGCCTACAACAGGACAATGATATAGAGACCATCTCAGGGAAAAGAGATGCACAAACATTCCACCATTATCATTAAAAAGAAATGAGAAAAAATAAAGATGCTTTTCACTATACTGTAAATCTGTCAGTAAATGAAAAGACAGTACAGTAATGCGACTGAGCCAATACTTCTGCTCGAATCACCACACTATCAGCCACTGAAGGTTGATTCAGTATAATTACTGTGCATCCAAAGGTCAGGTTTGGAGTGACTGGGAGCTGCCATGGAGAATCCTGCTATTTAAAGCTACATGCAGTGTAGCCCACAGCTACATGCAGTGACATACAGTCCCCCCCCTACTTAGCTAAGTAGCTAAGTAAGCTACTTAGCTAACATTTTCTTCCTGATTCATCTGGAATTGATTTTTTAAAAATAAATAAATAAATAAATAAAGTTTGCAAATGTTGCTATGGTTGGTGTGAGGTAATGGTAAGATGTTGGCATTGGCAGTATTCTGAATTAACCCATACAGGTCTGAGGGTATAAGATTTCTCTCTTGTTGGCTCCACAACTCCTCAGTTCTACCAGGGGGATCAATCGATGACCTTCTTTTCAATTTCCAAGAGTGTCAGAACTGGAACCTCAGGGGAGTGAAAAAAAGATTATTATCTTATTATGTTTTCACCCCTCAAAATATCATTTTCAATACAAACAGAGTACAGGTGCATTGGACTGCAGCCAGATGGGTACACAATGTTTTGGGTAACATATCCTGTTGAGGCTAACCATTTTGGCATTTTTTCATTTTTTTATAAAACCTTCAAGGCTGTGATAGCTTAGCAGGTTTTTGTATGAGTGCTACCATCTCTACATCACTGTGGGTGTCAGTGCACAGTAATAAATTGCAGAGTCTCCTGTAATTAATCCTGAAATGGTCAAAACTGTTTTGCTTCCTGTTACACTTGAGTCAAATCGCCCTTCAGCAAAACTTGCTTTGTTGCTGCTGCTGCCATCACTGTGTTTGCGCAGGATAAACTGAGGAGCTGATCCAGGAGACTGGCGGTACCAGTAGAACCAATAACCAGAGCTGCTGGTGGGAACGGAACATTCCAGAGAAACTTTTTCTCCTTCTGTTGCCAGCTTTTTTATTTCATCTTCATAAGAAATGCCTAAAAATGAAATAAACCGATAAAAGTTAATATTTATTAATGAGAGTTAAAGACAATGACATGGCAGGAAGAAAGCCAAGGTTTAAATTGAGGTTAGAAGAGAAAACTTACAGAAATAAATAATGAACAGCAGCAGCCCTGTAAAAAGATGCATCTTGTTATGACGTTAACATTCAGGCTGTTAGAGGAGAGCTAACCTGAGGCAGAATATGTGCCTTAGTTTTTCTGTAAGGATGAGTGGGTGGAGCAATAGAGCCCTGATGAGAATGCAGAAGAAGCTAAAACTACTGTCAATGTCATTTGTTAATCAGCATGAGAAAAGGGGCAGGGTGAGGGGAGTCTTAACTCTAGACTTAGAGAATTCCTTTCATTTCTAAAGACTGAACTATTAGATTCCTGCAGCCTTTTTACCAGAACCACACCATTCACTTACCACTTCTATCAAAAGTAAGAAAATACTGATCTTTACCTGGTGACCCAGAATGACAAGTATGATGTTTGAAAAGTATGTTTTGGATGCTATTTACTTGGATTACAAGTAATTACTACCAATTACATACTGACTAGCATATTCAGCACATACTGCTGCATATTCATTGTTGGAAAGGGAAAGGCTATTAAAATATTACAGGCTGTTAAACAAGTGTAGAACCGTGCAATAGATATAAACAAATGAG